CGTATAACTTCGTATAATGTATGCTATACGAAGTTATTACGCTCTCTCTCTCTCTCTCTCTCTCTCTCTCTCTCTCTCTCTCTCTCTCTCTCTCTCTCTCTCTCTCTCTCTCTCTCTCTCTCTCTCTCTCTCTCTCTCTCTCTCTCTCTCTCTCTCTCTCTCTCTCTCTCTCTCTCTCTCTCTCTCTCTCTCTCTCTCTCTCTCTCTCCCTCTCTTTTTCTTCTCTCGCGGAGATAACGTCTAATTGGCTTTCGGAGGGTATGTGCGAGGGTTATTTGTCATTGAAGGGGGCGTTTGTCGATCGTGCCTTCACGCTGCGCATTCGTGCGCTCCGACAATCGATTTCGACAATATTAAGAGTGTTGCAGATGAAAAATTTGTTTCTCAATTCTTTTAAGCATCTGGAGGATATTATGCAGAAGTGAATTAATTCCGCCAAGTAGTCTGCAATAAATTCAGTTTATAACACGTTCGTTAGCGCGCTAAATTTATAAAACTCGCCGCGAACGAAGCTACATCTTGCACAGTATTGTGTATTATGTATTTTTCATTAAAAAAAAGATATCAGAGATCAGTTGAGATCATTCTTTTTTTTGGCGATCCATATTCTGCCATCTATGTATTATTTAAAAAAAATAGAAAAAATTATAAGAAAATAATTTCTAAGAGTCGAAAGCCGTCACAGCGCATGCGACGCTAATGGAAACGTGATCATGCAAACTTTTATGTGGTTGCATCAGTTGTAATTATATGTATAACCCATTTATAATATTTTTAATGCTTAGATTAACCTGTGTTTGCTCAACACCGTCCAATTGGCAGTGACACGCGTTATGAACACTTGGAATCTGACGGGTGTACACCTACTGACCGTTTCGCCGGGCGGCCTCTAATCCACAGTTTATCTACGTACGCATCGCGCGAAGAAATATCAAGAGAATTCATCGCGCAGCAGGAATCTATACTGTTAAGCGCGCGCATTTCAGGGATCTTGCGGTAAACAATGAGGCTTGCACAATCGCCGGCGATAAAGCGCGTAGTCATTGATTACGGTAAACAGGCTTACACACTGTTTCGGATTCCCGATGCATTCGCGGCTCTAACGGTACGAGCTCAGCCACGCGCGAGAAAAGCCGCCTCTTCACGGTCGCCTCGCGCAAAACGCTAATTAGTTAAGTCGTTCACACGGCTTGCGCGGGAGACCGTTCTCGCCGTGAAACCGAGCTGCGTACGAGTCGTTTCGTCGAGTGCAGCGAAATCTCAGATTTCGCACACAATTGTTCAAAACTAATGAAGCAAAAAACGTGCATCTTCCACTTTTTTTTTTCAATTTTTTGATTATAATTTTAAAATGTACTTTGAACTGTTATAAAATTACACCGAAATCGATTTCACAAATTCCACTTATAACTACATTAGTATTCGCATTATAGAAACATCTCGCAGATCCGAAGATATTGTGCTCAATACCTTGATGACTTTACGTTCTCTCTAAAAGGAACGGACACGCGAGAGCCGAAGATGACTTATGAACTCGACGCGCGTTGCATACATTAAAAAAAACCATGTCCACCCACAGCTTGACGAAGAGTACGCCTCATTGTTTTCACCAAGGCGGTATGCGCGGAGCGAGCGGTTTCGAAATCTCACGAAACAACCGGCGCGCGGCACGGCGCGTTCGACTCCGCGCGGTGCAGCTGCAGTTGCAGCGAATATATCATCCGCGTGTTGCACCGCGGGCGACCGGGCGCGCACCAAAGGCCGGGTAACGAAGACAACCTATATTTTCTCCACCCAGTTCCAAACTCTTAAGGGCAAACGCGATCTCCTGGCTGGTCCTGCATCAATTATACCTTCCACAAACACGATGTTAGGGACGAGGCCCCCCTCCCCCTTCGTTCGTGTACGCTCGTCGTGTTTCGAGTACGAGTAGGGGGCTCGCGGAGATACGTCGGCTCGGAAGCATGTGTTATTAAATTATTCTCGCGTCACTGCGTCTCTGCCACGACGGGGGCGGAGGGGCGCCCCCTCCTCAAAATTATGCGCATAGGCTTATCAGATGTGCCCCCCGGGCCAGGAGGCGTTAAGCGGAATTTAAATTGGTGAACATAGAAACGTTCGTGCAACGATATAAATGCACGTTGCGACGTGCAATATTTATTGTGCGTCATACGTTGCGCTTCTTTGTTGGAATCGGCTTACGAGTTTTCTGTCTTTTTTTTCTTCTCTGAGTATAACTTAGAATACAAGAAAATCTATTTCCGATTCACTGCACAGAAGATTGCAATGTAATATAATATTTTTTAGTAGAGTTAGCAAAAATGAGCACATTATCAAAATTGCGATAAAGTTTACTAGATCGATCAGAAATTATGTACTCATGTGAGCCTCAAGGACTGCGATTAATAAAACAGTCCCTTAATTAATTGCCGTCAAGGGAAGCGTGTAGCGGTCTAAGAATACGTCCACTTATGCCCGGACATTTACTTTCTTAATTGCGTCGGTCTTTAATTTTCTCCGCTAATATTAATGGACCGCGCTGCAGGAAGTCAACGGCGAATGAATTCGTC